TCATCTAGTCTGCTGGTAATTCTTCTAGTGCTTTATTTCAGTTATTGTTTCTTCATTTCTGACTGGTTCTTTTTTGTGGTTTCTACATCGTTTTTTATGCTTGCTATCTCTTTGAAGTTCTCACTGAGTTCCTTGAACATCCTTACAACCATTGTTTTAAACTCTGTATCTGGTAGGTTGCTTGCCTTCATTTTGTTTAGCTCTTTTTCTGGAGTTTTCTTCTGTTCTTTCATGGGAGACCTATTTCTTTGTTTCCTCATTTTGGCTGCCTCCCTAGGTGTGTTTCTATGTATTAGGTAGATCTGCTACATCCTCCAGTCTTAGCCAGGTGGCCTTATGCAGTAGGTGCCCTGTGAGGCTCAGTGGCACAGTCTCCCTGGTCACCTGCTCTAGGTGTTCTAGGAGCATCCCTTGTGTGGGTTGTGTGTACCCTCCTGTTATAGTTGAGCCTTGATTGCTATTGACATGTCAGTGGGTAGGATTGACCCTCAGGCTGATTGGCTGTGGGGTTTGCCCATGTCCACAATTTATAGGCTTTTGTGTGGGGTGCTTACCCCAGTGAGTGGGATTCACCCCAGCAGGTTCTGGTGCCTGTTGAAACTGCCCTTTAGGTGTGCCATTTGTGGGGCTAATTGGGTGGTGCTCTCCTGTGGTCTGAAGCCAGCCTCTAAGTATGTTGGTTCTGGGGCCTCTTGGGAGGGGCTCCAGTGCAGGCCTATGTCACTCACTGCCTGCGACTATCCAGGGACTACCTGGTAAGAGCTACAAAGTGATCCACGGTTGTACAGGGTTGTGCTAACCCTGGAGGCATGTGGAAGAGCCCACGCTATGAACTGAGGACTGCTGCCACCAGACTGAGCCTGGGGTAGCTCTGCAGAATGCCCGGATACCCCGAGTCCTGCCACCTGCTGGTTCTCTTAAAGTTCAGCCACTGATAAAGCCTCTGCAATATGTGAGGTGGGTGAGGCACGGTCTCCGGGAGTCACTAGAGTGAGAAGAGTTGTGTTCACTACGTTAATATAGATTCTGGTTTGGTGCCAGTGCTGAGCCTGGAGCTACTCAGGAAAAATCTCAGAGCACACCGAGGCTAGTGGTCCCCTGTCTGGGGTCTGTGGACTCTGATAGCTTTCCAAGAAAGAGTGCAATGCAGGTGGGGCTGGCTGCTTGCTGAGAAAGTGCCTCCAGCGTTGAGGATGTTGGGTGGGGCAGGGTTCCAGTGAGTCAGCAGGGTGGAGCCCTGGAGCTCACCAGTCCAATTAGATTCAAATTTGGCCGTAAGCATAGCTGGTGGGCTCAATATGTTAAAGATGGCAGCTGCCTGCCCGGCTCACAGAAGGATCCCATGCAGGGAAAATGGCGGCTGTCCCCCAGCCCTAGCCTCAAAGCCACACACCTCAGTCTGCTCCCCGTATGCCTCTAATTCACCCCCAAGTCACTGTCCCTCTGCTGAAGCCCAAGGTGAGTGCCTGCGAACAAGTGAGTCTGTGTATGGGCCCTTTAAGAGGATGGCTGGGTTTCCCGCAGCTTTCTGTATGACCCAGAAGATTAGAATTCCCACTGTTTTTCACAGCCAGGTGTAGTGGGGGCTCCTCTTCCCTGCATGAGTACTCTGGGCTGGGGAGGTCAATATGGAGATGGGGTCTCTTGCTTTTCTGGAGAGAACCTCTATGGCCAAGATATCCCAGTTCTCAACCACCACATGGAGATTTGAGGCCAGCCTGTTTGGCAACTCTACCCCTCCTACCAGTCACCACGTGGCTTCTTTATATGCTTAGTTATAAAATCACTTTTTAGCCAGACCTCGGATGGCTCTCCAGGTTGATTGTTCTATAATTTAGCTGTAATTTTAATGTTTTCAGGGAAGGAAGCAGGCACAGTGATTATCTACTTCACCATTTTGGATCTCTTCTATTTCACCCTTATTTTTTTAATTAGTTTCAGGTGTACAACACAGTGCAATAGTTATACTTTTTACCCTTCAAAGTGGCAATTTCACCCTTATTTTAGACAAGTAGTCTGAGTGATACAGAATCCTTGGTTTTTAAGCACGTTGACTGTCATTCTACTGCCTCCTGGACTCCACTGTTTGAGATGAGAAGTCAGATATTAATTGTATTGGTGGTCCCCTCCCTGTAGTGATGAGTAATTTTTCTCTTGCTTTCAATTTTTTTTGGTTTTTAGCAACCTCTTTTCTCTGTTTTTCAGATTGAATAATTTATTTTTTAAATTTTTACTGGGGAATTGGGGGAAGGGGAACAGACAAGTTGCTGTCCTTTTGTTCTTCAGTCTAGTTGTGGAGGGCGTTGCTTCACTGGCCCAAGTTGGCATCATCACTGTGTTCTTCCCGGGTGAGACAGAACAGTTGCCGGCTTCTGGATGGCCGCTCACGGCGGCTGCTGGCTACACACGGTAGCCCGTGACAACCTACTGCAGCCTACCCCGTCGCCGGCGACTCATGGCAGCCCAGCTCCAGGTTGAGCTGTTGTTCAGCATCTTAGCTGTAGAGGGCAGTGTCACTGGCCCTCATATGTGGGATCCGAACCGGGGCCCTCTGGCATCCCAAACCAGCTCTTAACCAACGTGCCACTCGGCCGGCCCTTGAATAATTTCTATCGATCTATTTTCAAGTTCACTTATTCTTTATTCTGCCATTTTGAATCTACTTCTGAGCCTCTCATGAATTTTTCACTTGTTGTATATTTCAACCTCAAAATTTTGCATTGTTTTTTATAATCTCTATTCAGTTATTTAAAAAAATATTCTTGTGTTTATTTTTAAGCTCAGCTTTCTAGGGGGTTGCTCTGTGTCTGCATAGCTTAGTGGTCAGCCAATAACCGGACAGAAGTTGTAATGAAACACCTCAACCAGTCAGATTTCTTCCCTCTGCTGATGAATCTGTGTGTAGGTAGGGAGTAAATTCAATGTTTAGGCTGTTTTCAAGTCTGTCTTGGGTTTTACTTTTTGCTAAACCCCTCTTAATTTTCTTTGCACATGCATGCACCTTCAGAGTTGGCTAGAGGTATGTGAATAGCTTGGACCCTCTCTGGTCTCTTCTATGCATGTGTGCAGCCCCTGATTAGCCAGTAATCTGCTTGCCTCAACTATGATTGCAACCTCAGGCTAGTAGAACCAGTGGCCTTGTGCTCACATAGCATCAAGATTGTTACTTCTTTTGATACAGATTTTTGGCATGGTTATCACCCATCACTCCAAATTGAGTGCACTTTCCTTCAACCACAGCAACCTGCTGTGCTGGTCCTCATGCTCTGTTTTGCCCTGGCAGAAGTCCACAGTGACTGAGCTGGGGGAGGATGGAGTGGGGGAGGGGAGATGGGGCGGGGAAAGGGATCAGCCCCAGGCAAGGACACCAGTTTCTCACTATTTCTACCCAATAGTTTTTCAGCAGTTTTTCAAACATAAAGACATTTCAGGTTATTGTGATTTTGCTCAGTTTCCAGAGTGGCAACATTATTTTGTCAATTTTTTTCAGCATTATAGTTGTTTTTTTGAGAAGAAGATTTGCTGACCGGCTTAATTAGCTACAACTGAAGTGCTACCCAAAGCATCTGAGACTTTAATTATGATCTACTTGAATTGAAGTTGGAACTTGGAGAAGATAAATGCCTCAATTAGAAAAAGATAGCACTCCTGTCAAACTGTCCAAGTAGCCCTTTGCAAACTGGGGATTCAATTGTTGAAAATGGTTATAACTGATAATGGGAAATGGCTAGGAAACAGTATATTCTGTGCTTCCTTGCTGTCTTCTGCTGGTAGTTCTGTGTTTTTTCGCGTTCTACTTTTTGAAAACTATCCATTTATTCACTGGCACTAACTTCCTTTAGTCTTCTGAGGTTGGACTGTCACTGGTCACCTAACAACCACAATTCAACCTCCACCACATGCCATCTTAGTTTAGTCTTTATAGCAATGTGTGTGCAGTTATTTAATATTACATCTTACCTTGTTAGACAAATTGAATGGAAACTGGAAAAGTGAAAATCCCACAGCTAATGATAAGAACTAAATATCCTATAAATTTGAAACAAACAGGAAATCCCCAGATCATTGAACTGAATCAATGACATGCTCACTTGTGAAGGATTAGATCTCAGAATAATATAGCACTAGTCAGGTTGTGGGTAGAGGGTTGTGTGGTAAAGAAGGCATGGACTTCTGGGGGCCTGGAGACTTCTTGGAGTAGGGTGTGTTGCATTTTAGTGGATATTTGCATTTTCAACAAGGCTTTAATAACTCTGTAGTTATATAATGTTTTTCATATTGAATACCATGTTTGTTTTCACAACCTCAACATGAACCAAGTGTCCAGTTGTTAGACTGTAAAATTTTGTTTCTTGCTGACACCTTCAGTGATTCTATCATAAAATACCACAATTATGCTCACATGTTGTCATACTCTGGATGTCTCATAACTATGTAGAGCGTTTTTCCCCAGCATATCAAAATTCTCTTTTATCTGTGTGTTTCATGAGAAAGGATAGACTGGTTGCTGCCACAAAAGATCAATTTCTCTAAAATTTTACTTTCATCAGATTTATGGCTTGAGAATCAAACTTAGCCTCTTTATTGTCTTTCATAAACACAATTAATTAAAATACCAGTAACTTCTTTCAATTGCTCTCAAGGTGAATATCCCTACTTGGGACACTTTAGACTTGGCTTATTATAAAAACAATTCTTTTTTTAAAATAGAGGAAAACAAAGTACTTTGCCTTGCAAGTAAGAAAACTGAGGCCAAATGAAATTAGATTGTTTGCCCATGTAGTAAATGCCAGAAGCAAAGTTCGAGTTCAGGGCTCCCCAGCTCTGTTATGGTGTAATTCTACGTCATTTAATTGCTACTATTAGTTTTTGTCTCTCCCAGAGAGACTGTGATATCCCTGAGGGAACATAGTTGTTCTTAGACAGTACCTCCTGAATCCTTTAAAAGACTCAGCAGAGAACTGTGTACAGAATAGGTACTCAGGAAATCCATGCTGAAATGAATTTTTAAAAATGGTTTATTGTTGTTGCTAAGAAAGAGGAAATATGGGAAGCTCAATAGGTTGACAGTTAGGTAGCTTTCCTCTAGGAAGATGCCTGGTTCATACTGGAGAGTATAGCAGAATCGAGAACACACCATATACTTGGTCCATTTCCCAAAGGCCCATGCCTTACAGATTTAAAGATGAGCAAAGGAACTGGGAGTCTTCTAAAGGTGCAGGTTTTTGTTTTTTTTTTTTAATTTCAACTGATTGCTAGTATATAATAGTATAAGGTACAACTCCGAAGTGCTGCACAAGGGCAAGGTGGTTTGCGGTGGAAGAGGAGGAAAAAGAAAAGGAATGAGAGTGTAGGCGCAAAGGAAGGAGGGGTGAAAAGTAGAAAAGAAAGAGTCAGTGTGGAGATGGAGCCAACACAGCACAAGAAGCCTAGGTACCATTTCTGGGCTAGGGTTAGGGCTTAGATGATGACTCTGGTGGCTGGATCCTCTTAATTATAGAGCTGGTCATTAGACTTGGCCTAGAGCCCGTCACTGGAGAAGGAAATCAATGTTCAGACTGACTGTCATGACAGCTACCATTGGTGTGATTTTAATTCACAAGATCACTTTTCAAGCATCTAAATCTTCATCTCATCTCTCAAACAGGAGACAGGCTGCTGAAGGGACTCCCAGCCTGACCCTGCACAGGTCATGTCTTTACACTTCCTTAAGCCACAGAAAACTTGAACCAGGTGGTGTGATCATACTCCTCACCAGGCCTCAGCAGCACAGGCGGGAAGTGGGGCTGTGAAGAGGAAACAACACAGGTTACATTTTGCCTGCCAGGCTGCACCCTTAACCACGATGGCCTTTGGGCTGGTCTCTAGAGAAGCTCTGTGAACCAGGTGTCAGCGTGGGAACTGTCTTGTTGGTTTGCAACAAGATAAAGGACTTCAGCCAGAATGAAAGTCAACTACATCGCTGAGCACACTTTGTCGTAGCAAGACTTTCTTGATTAAGGAATCAGGTGCAAGCTGTAAGCATCTTATAGGCTGGCGCTTTGCAGAGCATTACTCTAGGCCAGGGGTCGGCAAACTTTTGAGACAGAAGAGCCAATCCTGTCCCTCACAACAATTTAAAAATGATTCGAGAGCCATAAAACAAATGAAATCATCATTATGTGAATAATATCCTTTAAAAATTTTATAAATGAAATTATGATAGTTTTATTTTCATTTTCAATTTTACTTCAGAGCCACATGTACGTACCCAAAGAGCTGCATGTGGCTCACGAGCCGCAGTTTGCCGACCCCTGCTCTAGGCTATAGCTAGAAAAGAAATTTATGAGGAGGCAAATAGGAAGAGAAGATATGTAGGATCATCTTAAAAGTATAGTTGTAGAAAATAAGTAGATATTCATAAGGAGAAACATGAAACTGAATAAAGACTTTGAAGGTACAAAATAAAAGATTTATAAAAAAAACATGTAAATGCCATGTTAGTAACTTGGCTGAGTGTTTTCTGTGTTTATCATGACTTGGAGAAGATAACACACATGGATTTTTTAATCATACACACCTGACTTGAGTGTTGTGACCTCTGACATATAGTGTGACCTTGAACACAACACCACTCTGTGGCTTTACCTGATTGACTGCATCAGGCCAATTCTGGGTCTCGAGGCAGAAACCGGAGTGCTTGGAATAGACTGCTCCACTCTTGCCCTTCAGTGTGCCATCCAGGAAGTTGCCTGTGTAAAACTGGACCCCGGGCTGGGTGGTGTACACTTCCAGTACCCGGCTGCTTCCAGCATGATGGACCCTGGAGATAAACCAAACCACATATACACAGGTCCAGGGCAGAAAAGCAAGCAGGGACAGGCAGATGCTGGAAGCAGCTTTGCTATAGGAATCAAACCTAGTTACAGCGCCGGGACAAGATATATAGAAGAGACAAAGGAAGTGCATCACGGGAAATTCTCATAGCCTCATAGGTGAGGCATGAGCAGGTGGTTTAAGGATCCTCAATAGCAACTCATCACTCTGATCTTGGCTTCTCTAGGTAAGGACAAAACAGACTCAGGTGTGTGTGTGTGTGTGTGTGTGTGTGTGTCTGTTGGTGGAGAGGCAGTTTTAGGGTCATGGAGGGGCTGGGATTCTTTCTCAAAGAGCTGGAGCTCTCTGCTTGCCTGGCAAAACAAGCAGTTGTGTCTTTTGAAAGAGAAGAGACTCTTCTAAGTCAAAGCATCTAAAGCAGGCTGTGCTTTAGTCAGCTCTCCCCCTAGAACAGATCAGCTGGGGGTTCCTGCTAGATTCACTGCTTGCTTTATTATTTTTTTCAAACCAGGTCTCTACAGAGGTGAACGTACCTGCTTGGTCCTGTACCTGGTGTCAAAGGGATCTAAATAAAGGAAGGCTGGGTCTCTTAGTCTCACCGAGAAGCGAAACATCTCCACAATGCACAGCTAACCAAGAGGTTCACGGAAAGATGTGTGGGTAGAGGCGGGCCAGGAGGTGAACAGTGGAGAGAAGGCAGGCGGTCTCCTCAGGTGGGAGCAATGGGGAGATAAATGTGAATAGCAGGCGCAGAGGAGGAAAGCGGGCTTGAGCTGGAAGAACAGCTGGGATCGGTGCTCGGGCTCTGAGGGAAAGGAGGCTTTCGAAGTTCTCTTTCTACTTGAGTTTGAATCATTTTCTCTGTGTGATTGAGAATCCATTCACTCTACAAACATTTATTGATTATTCGCTAGCACCAAGCATGGCATTAGGTGTTGGGGTAGGGTCAGGGATTCACAGAGATGAGGTGGCAGGGGGAACTCGGGGTTTAGTGAGGAGGAGGGAGTGTGCACACAAATGTCCAGCAGACCAGGGTGTAGGAGGGAGCGCCGTAAGACAAGTGCAGCCTGCAACCTTCCCTGGAAGTGCGCAGGGCAAAAGTCACAAGTCAAGAAAGTACAGAAGGCTCCGGAATTAAGGCTTCTAACAAAAAATGGGCAGTAAAATACAGACAGTGAAGGAGAGTGGGAGCAAAGACAGAATGCCAGGCAGGGGGACAGGGAAAATGGTACAGGGGGAGTGGGAGATAAATTCTACAGAGCTCACCTGTGGAATATAAGCTTTGAAAATACATGGGGTGTGGTATTTGGACCCTGTAGCACAGTAACTGGTATTAATATGGCCAGAGGAAAACCTCCCCAAGTAGGGGTTGGTATCTCTTCTTCCCTACAGAAGCAAGAAGTGAAAAGCACCTACCGTGCACAAAAATGCTTTTCCTTGGACCCCTTCAGACAGAAATTGTGGTCAAAGCCACTGATGTGAAACTCCTGCAGGCGTTTCCCAAGCTCCACTGGCTTCCTCATGTCAAATGCAGTTCCTTGTACTGGTACAACTTCTCCTGGTAGGAAAAGGCAGAAAAAAAGGACGATAAATGCCCAAATCACATACGGTGTTCTAAAGACCCACTGGTTCTCCCCTCTCAGCCTTCATTTCAATTTGTAAAGGAGATGGAAGCCCAGTTCCTAAGGAGAATGACTTGCTGGGTTTACTTAATTGTAAGATGCTACTGATTGCAAGATGCAGTAGCAATAACATTCAGAATCATTTGAGTGTGAAAAAGTACAAAAGTGGAACATAATTTCCATGAAGGGCTAAGTTGGGTAAAGGGTGCCAGTTGTCCTAACCATTGTCAATCACCTTGTTGATATTTCTCACCCTGACATATCCAGGGGTTCATAAGCAAGCATTAGCACCTGGCAGTGGCTAACCAGACACTAAAAATGTCCCTGAGATTAGTGATTCTCAAACCAACTGGGGCCATTTTTAGCCAGAGGAATACTGGCAACCATCCTTCCCCAATCACTTCCCTGAGTAGCCTGTAGACACACGCTGCACTTTGGTGGGGGCGGTTCATAACACACTGGGACGAATGAGTTAACTGGGACAGTCCAGGGCAAACTGAGATGCATGACCACTCTACTATTTGCCAATTTTAGATTCAATCTTTTGAATGAAAGCTTTGTATCTCCAGGAGTGATTCCTGGAGGAGTTATAGGCAGCAAGCACTGAGAGAGATACAGATAGATAGATAGATAGAGAGAGAGAGAGAGAGAGAGAGAGAGCGAGAAGGCCAGATCCCTCAAGCCGTAAGAGCAGTAGTATCTTTGTTCTTTTCAAGGGGACATCCTGAAGCCTCTTCACAATGACATGGGTGAAGGGTCAGTCCTGAGGGAGGACATTGCAATGTTAGGATCCTCAGCTCTTCAAGGGCAAAGCACAGAAGGAACATGAACAGGAGCCCTGTCTTGGTGGTCATGACACAACCAGTGCCCAGTCAAGAACATCCCTTCATGGTGTCATAGAACTCAAGAGTGTTGGGACCAGAAAGGTTCTCAGGGCTCATGGGGCCAAAATGCTCATGGAACAAATGAGAAAACTGAGACCCACATAGTTTGATACCAAACAACAATTAATGATGTTGGCATACTGTATTTCATCAATTTCATATTTTTAAATCTCTGAAATCATGTCATGATTTAATTGGTAGGCTTCTCTTCATGGTATGAAAATAATGGTGAACTTTATAACGATGGCATCTTAGAGTTGATAAAACGTAAAAATAGTTTGCCACATACTCCACTGTACTAAAACTACTGAACAAGTAAACAGGGCTTTGAGGACCAAAAAAGAGAAATCGGGATTATTTTGTGAGTCATTTCAACTAGAGATTGAAGGCAGAGTGATCACTTCTCAACAGACACTTCTCTGTGCCCTGTTGCTTTATCACCTTTCATTCTCTTCCTAACTTTCAGGTCTGTTCTTCCCTAGATGCTAGGCCAAGCCATTTCAAAAAGGGTATACAAATATTTTGAATTTGCCTCAGTTAAGAAAGTGCAGGTGGGCTGGCTGAGTAGCGCGTTGGTTAAGAGCTGGCTTGGGACACCAGCTCTGAGCCCCAGGGCCCTGGTTCAGATCCCACATGAGGGCCAGTGATGCTGCGCCCTGTACAGCTAAGATGGTGAACAACAGCTCGACCTGGAGCTGGGCTGCCATGAGTCGCCGGCGACGGCGTAGGCTGCAGTGGGGCTGCTGTAAGCTACCATGAGTGGCTGGCAGCCGGCGAGAGCTGCAAGAGCCGCTATGAGCAGCCGTCCAATGGCCGGCAACTGATCTGTCTCACCCGGGAAGAGTGCAATGATACTACCAACATGGGCCAGTGAAGCGACGTCCTCCACAACTAGACTGAAGAACAAAAGGATAGCAACTTGTCTGTTCCCCTTCCCTGACTCCCCAACGCTGTTCCCCTCCCCCAACTCCTCAACAAAATCTTTAAAAAAAAAAAAAAAGGTGCAGGTAATGTGAGGCAGCCCGGAGGGCAAATCGATTACTTTACAGTACTATTCCTTTTTTCCCTGTTGGTACATTCTTGGAATGTGTTAGAGCCAGAGCAACGAAGTAGGAGCCATTCACTTGGTCACACGTTTGCTCAATCAACATTTATTAAACACTTTCTGTATGCCAGCAACTCTGGGCAGGGACACCACACAGATGAACGAGTCGTGGAACCTGCTTGTGGTGTGGAGGAAGGAACGGATATATAAGCCGCTCATAATCACAGAGTATGAAGAGTGACCGGTAGTGACATGCTGTAAAAGTGAAGACAGGCAGTGTGACTAGGTGGGCTCAGGGGTGGCAGACGGGAAACTTCATGATGAAATGATGGTGGTTGAGCTGAGGCTTGAGGTGAGACCATTTTAGGTTGAATGGGTGAGGAAGGTTGAAGATGTGGAGGAAATAGCTTGAATTCAGATGATAGGGAGCGTGGGAGTGTGTGTGTGTGTGTGTGTGTGTGTGTGTGTGTGTGTGTGTGTGTAGTAGGGTGAAATGCCTCAGATGAAGAAAGAAAGATTAAGTTAGATTATGAAATCCCTTCTCTGAGCCTGGGTTTTTTCATCAGTACAATGAAGAAAAATTGGAGTAAATCATTAACTTTTAACCCCCACCCACTTCCTGCAGAATTCTTTATTTCAGAGGAAATCATTAGAGGAAGTTCAAAACACACACACACACACACACACACACACACACACACACACACACTATAAAATGGAAAAGCCAGAGTGAAGCCAGGATGCGCTCTGAGCAGCTCAGCTGGAAAAGCTCACGAACAGATGGTAGCAGAGGTACCACCCCCACTCCCCCACTTCGGAGTGAGGAGCCCCCTGGCCTCTCCGGTCCTAAGATCTTGCTCCAAGTACAGAGAATCTCAGGTTCCCCTGCAGCAGGCCAAGCACTCTGGCCATTCTTTTTTGAGGGGGAAAGAGGAGAGGGGCTCTATTTCAGAGTCTTGCACAATGATACACTTTAGTCCCTTTAAAAGTTTTCTTGGGCTGGCCATGTGGCGTGTTGGTTAAGATTTGGCTTGGGAGTGCTGGCTCTGAGCAGCAGGGTCACGGTTTGGATCCCACATGGGCCAGTGACGCTGAGTCCTCTACAGGTAAGATGGTGAACAACAGCTCAACCTGGAGCTGGGCTGCCGTGAGTCGCCGGTGAAGGCGTAGGCTGCAGCCCCTGCTGCAATGGGCTGCCATAAGCTACCATGAGGGGCTGGCAGCCAGCGTGAGTGGCTGGCAGCTGGCATGAGCTGCCGTGAGCCGCTGTGAGCAACCGTCCAGTGGCTGGCGACCAACTGCCTCACCCGGGAAGAGCGCAATGATTACAAAACCAACATGGCCAGTGAAGTGACGTCCTCCACAACTAGACTGAAGAACAAAAGGACAGCAACTTGTCTGTTCCCCTTCTCTGATTCCCCAACGCTGTTCCCCTCCCCCAATTCCCCAATAAAATCTTAAAAAAAAAAGTTTTCTTACTGTCCCAGAACTGTGTCATATATTTTAAGGTACATACAGACATTAGATGGTTAACATGCTCTTTTAGGGTGAGAATTACTTTTTCCTTTCATGGGGTCAGAGGGAGAAGATGTTTTAGGAACTTTATTTTTTAATTTTTATTTATTTTTTTAATATTTATTTAGTTAGTTGCAAAAAAGGACAGTTTATTAGAAGAAAAGATACATTTCAGATAAGCAGAAGTGAGCCCAAGCAGTAGAGAATGGCTCAAGGGCCATTATTAGAAGAAAAAGTACACTCCAAAGAGTTTAGAGCTGGCCGAGCAAAAGAAGCTGAAAAGGGTCAGGAACTTTATTTTTAGCGGGGAGATACAGCATGCAAAGTGGGATGAAATCTTAGGAGTCTAAGAAAAAACAGGAGCATGACTCTCAACACTAAAAAAAATTAATAAAAGGAGAACTGACTTTTAGCCAATTAAAGCATTGGGTTTTGCCTTTGTAGGTTCCTAAATACTGGGAGAAAACATGAATCTCCTATTTTCAGGCCTAAGAGGCATCCTTTCCTTAAACTCAGAGCTACTGTTCAGAAATGTAGTCTTCCTAGCATGTGAGAACTGGTGTCTTTTGAGTTCATTCACACAACGCTGCCTGGGTTCCAAAGCACCCAAGGGAGACACAGGCCTGGCTGATACCACCCTAGAATCCAGGGTCCATGTTCAAACGGGGATTCGGAAAGCACACGAAAGAATCCTCTTCTACCAGAGCTAGCTTTAGGAAAAATCAAGTAACATTCTTTTAGAAACCATCCTTTAAAAAGCTTCTACTTCCTTTCCCTTGGTTCCACTTTTACAAACAAGAATCTTTTTTTGGTGAAGATTTTATTAGGGAATTGGTGGAGGGGAACAGTGTTGGGGAATTGGGGGAGGGGACCAGCCAAGTTGTTGTTCTTCAATCTTTGTTGTGGAGGGCGCCGGTTGCCACTCCCAGTCGGCAGCTCGTGGCTTCTAAGCTCAAGGTGCTGTGTTCAATCTTAGTTGTGGGTGGGTGTAGCCACCATCCCATGCAGGAGTCGAACCAGCAGCCTTGTTGTTAAGAGCGCATACTCTATCCACTGAGCCATCCGGGTGGCAGCTCAGCTCAAGGTGCCGAGTTAAGTCTTAGTTGCGGGTGGGCATAGCCCACCATCGAACAGGCAGTCTTGTTGTTACACCAGCTGAGCCATCCTCCCACCTATTGGCAGCTCAGTGACAGCTCAGCTCAGGCGCAGCGTCACTGGCCCATGTGGGAATTGAACCGGCGGCCCTGTGGCTCAGAGCTCGCATTCTTAAGCCAACTCTTAACCTACTGAGCCACTTGGCCAGCCCTACAATTTTTGAATAGGTAATATTTGCAGAAGTAATCGATTTAAAAAGTAACAAATGTAAAAGGTACAAAATACTATATATAATGAAAAAAATTTCTCCCGTCTTTCTTCCCCACAGATCCGGTTTACTTTAACAGAAGCAGCCACTGTTACTTCTTTCTCATGGGCACTTCCAGAGTCCTTACAA